CAAGCATAACCGGTAGTATCTGTCACAGGGGTACAGAGGTTAGTGATCAAAAAGCTAGCCAAACTGCTTATTTACCAGGAAAAGTGTAACATGAATAATAGCAGAAACATAAGATGTAGACTCCAAGTGTTTATAGTCCAAACCAAAAAGACTTAGTTATGTTGAATCAGCAGAGAGCTTCCATTGAGAGATCCCTCAAATAAGCTTATTTGAGGGACACCCTTGTAGGGCCCACTCCCCATTGTATTTCACTAATCCAAACCATCTATTTTTTAGATAATCATTCAAAGATCATCTCTACAAAAAATCACTTGAATCCAATATCATTTGACCACTCAATTGAGTTATTGAAATTTTAGTACTTTCTTGAAGCACTATAATCATTGATTTTGTAGGACACAATTGGATGTCGAAATAGTTTCCGATTTGTCTAATTTTTTGCAAGGATGATCTATGAAAGTAGACTTAAAAAATAGATGGTTTGGATCGTTAAAAAAAAAATTCGTAGGGGACCCTAAAGGGTGTCCCTCAAATAAAATTATTTTAGGGATCCCTCAATAGAAGGGAACTATATATATACACATTATATAAGGGATCCCTAAATTTAAAGGGACTATATATATATGTGTGTGTGTATAACATATATATATATATATATATATATATGTAGAGAGAGAGAGAGAGAGAGAGCAGGAGCATACTCTCTGTGGATTAATGCCAGCTGCAGCAACATACATATCAAGTTTTCCTATTGGTATTCCAATTCCCTGAACTCCAAGATCACCTAGGCCAAGGATACGACTGCCATCTGTCAGGACTATCATGTCTACCTGCAATAGAGTGGAAAATGAAGACCAAATACAAACCAACATAACTTAGAGACAGAGGGAATAATATATAAAAAATTAGTATTTTGAAGTCTTGAAAAATCAAGGACATCCCAATAGAGAAACATCAAGATCATTATCATTGGAGCTTATGACTGGACCTCGAAAATTATTGACCGCGTACAACTTGTTGTAAGGTAGAAAAACAAAAGAGTGTAGCATCTACCTGGTGAGCTGGCCAATTGTAGATCATAGACATCATCTCCCCTTTATCCTTTGCACTGAAATACATTCCACGTGGACGTCTGAATAACCCTGAATAATTTTGACATACCAATCCTACTGTAGGAGTGTATATTACGGGAGCGAAATCTTGGATGTTATCAATAAGGACCTGGAAAAGAAAGTAATGGAAAACCACATCAAATGATGATAGATTATATAAAGTTCTTCAATATCTACATGCTGGAAATATAAACCAAAACTTACTCGGTAGTATAAGGTCTCGTTCCTGTCATGCAGCCTGTTTAAGATCCTCCATTTAGCCAAGGCAACAACACCTTCTGGTTGGCCCTTAGTATTTTTCTCTAGCGACCGATACGACTCCACTAACAAGTTAAATCAGATGGTAATGTCATTACGTAAACAAGGCCTCAATGCCAATGCTACAGAACTTATAAACAAATCTCCTCGAGGACTGATACATCATTTTCATTTTCGTAAACTAACTTATTGATTGAAGTCTCCTAGCTTAGTGTATGTCAAGTGCTATAACGACGAACCCCGACTAGATTTCTTTGAAGAATAATAACCGAAATTCTAGCCAAACAATATAAAAATGTGTACTACTTGGAGAGATTGTGTAAGACACTCACTGAAACGAGCATATTGCTGCTCGAACGATATGACACGAGGTGGGAGGAGACCCCGAAGCCCAAGTCGATCTCTTTCTGTCAAAGGAAATCCAGTGTCCTGCTCTTGAGGAAAACAAACATTCAGAACAGATAATTAAAACCCAATAAGGCAAAAAAAAATCATCAAACTTTGAGGCATCATCCACTTCACAAATTGGACTAACTTTGTATTTTTATAATTCACCAAAGCTCAATCAGTTTTACAACTAAAATTTCTCCAAAATTTAAAATAAAACTTCACATTTACTTTCAGAATCAAGAAACTCTGTCTGATGAACATACACTAAACTCAACTCAAATCAAAGAACAAAAGAGAAGGCTGTTGTTTTCGAACCTTGTTGAACCAGGGATCATGGAGAATATCAGCGCCACGCTTGTGGACAATACAGGGACCAGGAATCGCCGTGGAGAAGCGCCTGGTGGATCGGGTCAAACTGGACGCGGCGAATCGCGCTGCGTTCCACATTCTGCGAGCCCTAGAGGAATTTCCAAAACGAAAACTCAGAGTCAGCGCACGAGCTCCTAATCCATCCTCGCAAAAAGCTCACCTCAGAGATCACAGAAAAAATCACCAAAAAAGGAGTAACAACAATGAAACCAATGCTTTCAACTGAGTGTGACTTGGGATGTATTTATAGTAAAGGCCTTTTATTTTCGAACCCCTTTTTATTTTGACTATTATATTTCTGCTTTTTATATTAATATATATATATATATATATATTTTTTAGGGGTTTTCTTTGGTCCAAAGGTCGTCACTCGTGTGTGCGTGTCTGTGAAAATAGTAGCAGTTTTGTTGATGAGTTGAAGAAGCTGTTGAATTGGAAGAGAGAGAGAGAGAGTAGAGCTGACCGGGATTTTTGGGCAGGTAGAGAATACGAACGGTGGATTGGCAAGCGGACGAGTTTGACTGGAGAGACGCCCTAGAACTGGGTTGGGTTGGGTGAGTTGGGTTGGGTTAAAAGAATCGGCTGCTTCTCGTGGGAGCACTGAGAAATGCTGACTCATCTACATATGTGGATTTTTACCATGTGACTATTTTTGTTACTCTTGGGCCCCGTTTGGTTCACGGAATGAATTTGAGGGGAAATCAATTACCATGTCATTTCCCAAGGAATGGGAATGAAAGATTTCTTTCCCACTTTTGGTAATGTTGTGAAGTAACCGGGAGATTTCACTTTGTTTCATTTCCCATGTTTGTTTTAAGTATGAATAGAAAACAAAGTTTGTATAATTTTCCAATTATACCCATAATAAATCAAATAAAAAAAGAATGCATTTAATAATACATTTTTAATTATAAATTGTTCATAGGGACAAAATAGTCATGAAAATTGTGCATTGAATGTTGGCTCATTTTCCCAAACTTTCCCATGAGGAGGGTTTCACTTTCCCCCCTACTTTCTCATGTGCTAGCAAACCATTTCCCATGCCTTGTTTCACCAAACATGGGAAAGCAATTGAATTCCCATTCCCAAGCCTCCTTCCCCATGAACCAAACGGGACTTTGGGGTTTTTCCAAACAAATATCCTTTCGAGTAACATATAGATTCTACAAGGGTTTTAAAGTTTGTAACAAAGCTTTCAAATCATAAAACAGTTTAAGGATTGATAAGCTGTAGTTAAAGAAATTGAAGCTAACCACAATGTATGGTGTGGTTAGCAAATTGTCATCTCCAATGTATGGTGCGGTAATCACAAAAGTTTGAAACCTGTTGGAAGCATTTTATGGCCAGAGACAAGCAGAATCTCGAGTGGTGATTAATCACACTCTTCGAGTGCTGAGACACCTCATTGTATTTATCAAAAAATTAAAAATTAAAACTCGAAAGTGATTATCTGAACATAAAAAATACGAAAGACCTTTACAAGGGTGAAACTAGGTATTCATATCAGGGTGGACTAATTTTGTTTTTTTTCTTATTGCATGAAATGGAAGTAAAGTTAGGCTTATAAGGGTAGGATAATTGTTTACTTTGGGCAATATTAGGCTATATATAACATGCTGATTATTAACACCAATTTTTTTTTCTTTTCTCAAAAGAAGGGGTAGACCCCATGAGAGCCTTGTACTTCCCCAAAATCAACATGAAAGGCACGACTCAAGCACACTCAACCCAAGAAAATGACTGTTGGAAAGCACATTCATCTTAAGAAGATCGCTACCTGAACCAAATCATGAGAGACTTTAAGAAAAAAAAAAAACAAACAAACCTACAGTGATGCAATAAACCCTAAAACATGCATCACAGTTCTAATTAAAATCCCAAATCAAACAATTCCCGAACTTTCAACAATAAACCCTAAAACAATTTTGAAGCATAACCACTCTTAACACTATGAAAGAATGTTCAGCAAATATCCCAAACTCATTTTAAGTGAAAAACGAACAAATCAAAATGAGAGTTTTCGAGTGAAAAGATGCGACAAGAATGAATTCAAAGGTGAAAATTCGGATAATTTACAGAATGAATTCAAAGTGCAAATTCGGATAATTTAACCCGACTCACAGCTTTTTGTTACGAATGGATGGAGGATAAAAGTTTATTTTTATGACGTAATTGATATGACAATGAATGGGGGAGAATTGTCAAATCAAAGCTTTGTTGCGCTGTTCAGAAGTCACGAGTCATGACAACTATAATCAATAAATAATAATAATTGTAGACAATGATCGAATCGAATTGCCTAAACACCAAACTCAGTCTTGTCTTCAGAAAGAGCATTCCCCTAATAAATATCCCCAACTAGATAGAACTTTACTTTGTCAAGTTAATTATTCCTTTGTCCCTTGTAATCAATAAAATTAAGTATTTAATCTTCTATCTTCGACTCGGTTTTCGGTTTGGATGCACACCCCTAGTAGTATTAACCTGCCCAGATAGATTGTAAAAGAGGAATTTTTCTTGTGCATGTTGTGTGTGGAGGGAATTTAGAATAAATGTGCAAGAACCTCACCTAGCGGCTAGGGTTGGATATTAAAAAAAGTAATTGATGGAAGCAATCTAGGAAGCTTCAGATTGCCAAAATTGACCTGCACATTGCTGCCAAATCAAAAGTTTTATACACTTTGTATGAGCAAAACCAATGAATTCAAAGTCAAGAAAATTAGAATTTGATTCCATTTGAGTGATGCAACAGAACAAAATCTTTTGAGCATATTTTGACTGCTAGCGTGTGGCAACCTGAAAAAGTAATTGATGTCTAGACCTCTTTCTTGTCTTGTAAATATTTAAAGATTCTATGGCAACTAAACAATATCAACCAAGGCCAATTCAAATACTTTATTAACAAAAGCTAGACACAGAGGTAGACAATTTATTTTGGAGATTGACAGTATAGCAAAGTGAATAATAACTCACATAATCACTAACAAATTCAAGATTACGAAAACATGTACACAACATGTGTTAAAAGGCTGCTCATATTCTCTGCAAACATCTAATACAAGGAATAATTTGCGTGCTGCAAGATTTAGATACCCAACCTCCGCTGGTACTGCTTTCACCCAACGGTCCTAAATAAACTCAGTAGTCTTTCTTTCCAAAGTTCTTGCACCAGAGTTGTGATGGGATCGGGCGTACAGGATTATGTGGCCGTTGCTGCAATAAGATATAAGTTCTCTTAGAACTAATAATTACCACAGTCTATGAACATTTTCAGTCATTCAGCCATAGAAAGGGTGTGGCTCAAATCCATTCAAGAGGAACAGCATCTGATCCAACCAGATATGTTTGCCTTTTTGGACAAGTAATTAAAAAAATTAAGCCCGCATAAATGCATTATTAAGGAATATCTTTTAGAATAAGAGGATTATTAAGAACTATTAAGCATAAGAAGCACGCCAAAGATATAATATAACAAAGACAACCTTTTGCTGATGCAAAGAAACTAAACAACATATCCTTCCATCATTATTCCAAAGAAATAAAATATTAATATAAACCACTTAATGTTTTTTAGTTACATAAAGTTTTCATGATATATAAAAAGTATGACATGACTAACCAACAACTAAACAACATCTTCAACCCCGTTATTTCCAAGGCATTAAAAATCTGTAAGCAAAGATGGATGCAATTTGTCATACTTCAACAAGTGCCTGGACATAATTGTTCTGGCCAGCTAATAATATAATACTGGGTCTGTATGCATCCTTAGCCTAGGGGCTTCAACTAGAAAGTACTATCTATTATTGAGTGGCTCTTTAGAGTAGCACATAAGTGTTATGTCCATGACAAGGAAACATGCACTTTAGCCCTAATCTTCAATAGCTTAAAGTATAAGAAACAAGCCTAGAAATTAGTATCAACAATGTTTTGTGTTTTAACAGTTGAGCTTCTAAGCTACTCAGGTCAAGTAGGGAATCTTCCAAAAAAATATTCCCCAAAATGCTCATTCTTTTTTAAACGAAGATGAAACCAAAAAGAAAAATCCTACCCTACTTGGAAAAAATAATTCTGAAGACCCTTGGATCTTCTGGACAGTACGTTATGCAAAAAATTAATGTTAACACCATGAAATGTAACAATCTTATCAAGTTCAGCAAGTATGCACAAGCAGATTTTTACTGCCAAAAAAGAATCATAAACCCTCTACCTAGTACATCAATTAAAGGCATATAAGAGACAATAATTTCAGCCCATGTGCATTGTTATCAGAAAAAATAAGATATATGTCACCATTTAGTTACAACATCTTTGTGCAGAATTTTTTTTTTATAATTGAACGGTTTGTAACAGAACAACTTTACAGGTGCCAAAGGTATGTAATGTTCTATAACAATAAAAAGTGCATAACTAAATGAAACTCAACGCTTCTTATATATTTTATAACTAAATAAAAAATGAATTACAGTTCATTAAAATGAAAAACCACTTTTAGTATGAAGGTCTCTAATTCTAGTAGCTTGTATTTAATAGGTTATACTTATCTAGAAAATTGATTACAGGAGGCCCAAGAACAAAAGGACAGGAAGCATTCAAGCTGGCAAACCTTTTATCCAAATCAAAATGAAGTTCAAAAAGCATGTCACAGCAAAGCCTACTAGGTCAAGAGTCTAAAGAATCCTTTTAAGCATATCTTAATTCAATCCTCTAGTTATCTTAGATACTAGATTTCATGAGTTTTCCCTTCAGGTTAAAGCATCATTAAGTTTTGAAGAACTCTAACTCACAGCTATCACCGTCACATTTTAATTGTTCATTTAAGTTACGGTTATACTCATACATTAACCTAAATTCATCTGTTTACTCAATTTTTCCAAGTCTACCACTCACATTGCAAAGCAAGACCCTTACAATCACAAGTTGACAAACCTACAATCACGATGACAATCTTCCACCCTGACTATTTCACAAAATAAATCTGGAAGGCGTACATAGGTAGTCATTTGCTTAATTTCACCAAGAAAAAATCTAAACCTCAACTAAATCCAAAGAAGTTATGAAAGCTAGGTTCAGTTCAGTCAAGCTTAGTGAGCATTCAGGTACTAACAATTTTATAATCCAAGATCCAAAACTTGTATTCCTTCAGATTTCTACATTTTCTCAAGAACCAAACGGAAGTCTAAAATAAAAACATTTTAACGAAACGAGAGGAAAAATATAGGGATGAGACTAGGTGATAAAAAGAGACCTCGAGCTCGGCAGATTTCATGGCGATAGGAATGCAGACAAGGAAGATGCCGGCCATGGCGATGGCGGTGTTGCGCTTCCAGTGCTTGGGCCTACAGTACGGACCCCCACTCATGCTCCACACCTTGGCCCTGAAGTCTCCGTGGGCCCCATCTCCGTGTGCATGTTCACCTCCTCCCATGCTCGATCGTCAATATTCTCTTCTCTTTCTCTGCTGCGCAATTACAGGAAATGGATCAGAAAATCAAATAACAAACAAATTGAAACCCTAATTTTCTCAATCTTCTGAAGCACATATATCAGATTGCGTATGAGAATTGAAGGATAGGGGTTGGATTGAATGCGGACGAACCTAACTGAGGGGCGTTGTAGAGCTGATTCAGCTGAAGGGGACAAAGAGCTGCGTTTGGGTGCTCACTGAAACTGTGTAATTGTATTGGCCGTCTTTTGGAACTGTACATTGGAAGATACAAGGTTTCGGATTGGCCCAAATTTCTTGATGCTTTAGAAGCCCAAATGTCTTGATGCTTTGAAGGCCCAAATAGCTGGGTGGCAATCGAGTTGAGTCAGTCATGCATGTTCGGAACTGCTTCTGAAATAGTTTAAAGCATTTCTAAAAACATTTAGCAGAAAACTTTAAAAGTATTTACGAGTCATAAAAGCAGAATATAGAGAAGCAACTAGTAGTAAGTGCTTTTTATTAGTACATTTTATGAACAGAAGTGCTTCTTACGGAGGCAATTCTAAAAGGGTCACTAGGCTTAATTAATCGTGTCAAATGACTTGACAAGCTTTGTTGAGCCAGAATTGAATCATTCGTATTTGACACTAGTTCGATATGTTTAACATTTGTGCCAACCGTTCTTGATAAGTGGTAATAAACCATAATTTATTGATTTCATGTTCGGTTCAATTGTATTGATGTGTTAATTAGTATGAATTAGGGTTTAGAATTCTCTTATGTGTCTGGTGACCAATAGAGATTGGAACTATCTTATTAGTTAAGCATGGTGCAAGACAAATTTGGCCCTCCATATATTACGTTTGTGCATACAATTTAGATGAGCTCATGCCCATCAAATAATTCAATCAATGAATGTATGTACCTTCATACAATTTTGAACAGCAAATTGTAAGTATACATTTGAAGTTTCTTGGGTACAAAGTTTGTTGCTTTCGGAACAATTTTAACGATATTTTTTCCCAATCCAGTAAAACAGAAAGTGATTTTTATTCCTTAGTACTACAACTAGGAAGCAATTTACGGTATCTTCAGGGCATCAAGACTTAACCTCCGTTGAAAGCGTCAATCTGACACCATCTGTAAATGAAGTAGGAGTAACACCAAGTGTCTGAACCAGCTTAGTGATATCCATGGATATGTCAGCCGGAGACTTTACTCCACGATCAACCTGAAAGTACAACACATTTCTCAGGTACAGAAAATTTCGGGTAAACAAATTGGGTAGTGAGGCAAAGTCAGAAGAAGGGTTTTCCTCATCACCAAAAAAGAAAAGAAGAAGGGTTATTGTTGCCAAGCAAACGCAAGGCAACGTGGAAATCAAGTCATCTGAATGCAACTTGAAACTGATGAGTCACATGTTTTTTATTCAGTATGTAATGCAACAAAGGTGTTGATCACTATGTATCTTGAGCATGACAAAAACTACAATTGGTACAAAGTATACGTACTGATGATGCAGACACTGATTTGATCAATGAGGGATTGTATCCCCTAATATCTGCAACAGTCTCAGCCATTTGAAGACGGGATACCCTATCTGGTCCACCCACATTTAGTAGCAACTTTGTTTGCTTACCGTCTGCAGCAATTCCATGAATATCACAAGTTCACAACCATCAATACGTAAGTGAAAGCATAGAAAGTAGAAAATACCCATAGTATCATAGAGACAAAGAAAAAACTATTTAACAAAAAAGGAAACATATTGCAGGTCCAGAAATTTTGTTGATCCAACAAGTATGAAAGTATGAATGTTATGACTTCATACCTGATATCCACCTCTTGGACAAAGCTAGTATGACAGCTACAACATCTTTTACATACACAGGGCAACGGAACTCATCATGAAAGAACTCGCTTGTATTTCCTTTGGAGAAGACACCATCAATCCACTACATTAATCACATGAAAATCAGTGATTTGACTCAAAGTAAAGTACCAGGGTCGGATTTACTAAGTTGTATCTTTATATTCATTATTCTCTTGTATCAAATTAGTAGGTGGTCCTAAACTAATCGACAACAAACTAGCAAAAATACCTTAAGGTCTGTTTTCAGTATACACACCTGAATTGGAAGAGATTTTGGAACTGGCGAGAGTGTCTGTGGCCCAAAAATGATACTGCTTCTCAAAATTGCAAAGTTTGAGCACTTTTCAGAAATGAACTGCTCTGCTGCCACTTTTGATTTCCCATAAACATTTACAGGTACAGTTTCATCATCTTCCTTGTAAAAGGACTTCACCCCTTCATAAACTGATGGAAAATGGCATCAGTCACGATCTAGGAATAATCAGCATAAAGGTATAAAACAAAAGATCAGTGGTTCAAATAGAAAAAAGCAATGTCTGCAATGTGGATGCAGTCTTTCAGAATTACCAAAGAGAAACAGCAGATCATATGAAGTCATGCATGGGCGAGTGCTTAAAAAGTTCCTACATTTTAAATGTTCTCGTACTGAGATAATTCTTTGAGGTCATTAAGCCTAACTCCATAGGAATAGAAAGCATTTGACAACCCAAGAAAATAATTTAACAGCCTTTCTTGCACTCCCTGATTCTAGTCATGCCTATTTCAATGGAATCAACAGTAACATGTGATTGCCAAAAATTTCAGCAGGTAAAATGCAAAAATTGGGTTCAAGATCAAGACGATCAACTGCAAATATTAGAAATGTAAACAGTTTGAAAGAGGTGATAACAGGATGAAAATCTCCAGATCAATAAAAGGTTCTTCCATCTGGTAATGCATTAATCCATGAAGAATCGTCTTGTGAAGCTTAAGGAGGCTGAGAAAGTCAAGCTTTATAAATTCCTACTCAAAAAACCACCCTGATATTCATGATCCTCAGATGCAGTGTCCATTTCCTCAATGTCATGAAAAGTAACTCACCCCCCCCCCACCCCCGGGCGCCCCCTTTCTCTCCCCCTTCCCTTTTTTTTTTCAAATTTCCATAGAAGTTCTAAAGTATATATACTGTAATATCAACTCAATTAACCCAGCAATATCTATCCTACTTTTCCTGACCTTATCTCCCTCAACTGGCAAATCACAAGGGTCTTAGAATAAAAGTTTTTTACTACTGGAGACAATTAAACATCCTTTAAATCTCTACCGCACATTAATGAGAAAATTGTGCCTGCAGCGGAGACTTATTGTTCTTCCTATTGCCATTTTCTTTTTTCTTTTTTCCCTTTTCTCTTGCCTGGTTATATTAAGCCAAATCTAAAACAGAATGATTAAGAGTGGCTTCACCTTGATCGGTTGACAAATGGATCAGAAGAGAATTGCTCTCCTCTAAGCTCAATAACCAATTTACAAGAGAAGATGGCACATTCACAGACATAGAAGCAGTAGGATCCATTTCACAGGCACGAGGTACGGAGAGTGCAGCGCAGTTTATGACCACATCAGGCTGGCAATTCAAAGTTAATACACTTCTCAGCACTTGAAAGGTTGATTATTTGAGTTAAGTACTTGAGATCATATTCATCTTTCATTCAAAAAACACATACCAGCAGACGAATTGGTTGAAGCTTTTCACATATTGTAAGTTCCCTAAACAACTATTGGCTTATATATGGCTCTATAAGAGTCCTAAAAGCATTTTTTTGAAAGAAAAAACATTAATGGATGAGCCTCAACTCAAAAACGGAACAGAGTAAACAAATATCCCCGATAATTAGCATGTAAATTTAGCAGGAAAATGAAAAAACAAAAGAACCCACAACAAGAAACAAAAAGCAAGCAAAACCCATTAAGCTAGCACACTCCATTTCAGCTGATACATTAGCAGTGTGAGTGGTATGCAGAAAATTCAGACCCAGTAAACCAAAATTTACAACGCCCACCACTCCAAATTATAGATTCCACAGGTTGAAACTTGAACCCAGAAATCAAAATCATTGTAATATTAAAAATAAAAGAGAACTGTTAGTGTTGTAGTGTAGTGGGTTAAGAACTAACCGGGCCAAACGTTTGAGAAATGGCTTGAAATCCTTGGCCGGTCTTCAAATCGACATGGAAAGACAGCAAATGAGGAAATGCAGTGAGCAATGCTGGGGGAGGAGGATTGGAGTGGTGGGTAAAGGCCAGATCGCAAGGGGTGGTGGCTTGAATCTCTGAAAAGCCTTGCAATACATGTTGTCCCAAGTAACCTGTGCCTCCGACTACCAACACTCTCTTCTTTCTCATCATACCACTTTTTCTCCCTGCGTTGGCGATTTGGCAGTGAATCTGATTTGGGTTTTGCAGGGGCTGGTGGGAAGAACCGAAGAGCTTCACAGCAATTGGAAGTTAGCAATGTACGGTTTATGACGAAATTTCTGCTGTCACTCTCACTTCTTTGATTTTGAAAGAAAGACCCATCTGTCACTGTTCCTCTGTTTTTATCGTGTATTTAATTTTAGAGCCAAATAACGAAGTTGAGGATGACCAGATGATCATAAACTGTACGGCTTGGCTTTCATCTTAACTTCATATGCATAAGTAAATGCTACCAATTACTAGAGTTACAATTAGAAGTCCTTTGCGGTGCTCAACTTATAGTTGGCATGAACCATTAGAAGGATGATGAGCTAATTTTAGGTTGATAAATTATAACAAATTATCATTTGGTCTAATGACACTCAATTTTTATTTTATTAGAAGAAATCTCGAGTTTATCAGAAGAAATCTCGACTTCGAAAAGGGGACTACATTTTAGATGGTTCAAATACATTGTGTTGTATGCATGCCAAAAAATCAATTAAAATTATAAAAATAAAAGGAAAGCACTTCCCTTCTTACTAGGTAAATAAGAGCTCATACATTCCTATCAATAGCAATATGACGTGTGTGTAAAAGTTTTTCTTTTTTGTGTTTTTGATGAATTATTTTTGCATATGTGTCAAACTGTGATTCGCAAGAAGGAGGAGTATCTCCTTACCGATAAGGAGGCATGTAGTATCCAAAGTAAAGAGCTTGCGCCTTTAATTTATATATAAATAATAATAATAAATATGGTCTCTTAGCTTAAAAATATTATTTAAAAAAACATAACAAAAAAAGGCCTAAAAAGTATAAAGTGAGAAAAAACAAAAACATAAAAAACCAATTCGAACCCCAATTTTATGGCCTGGGGTATATAGAAATCAAACCAAGCCCAATTTTCCTACGTTTGAATAAATCTGGGCTAGAACAAGTAAAAATCTGGGCTACATCATGGGTAGACGTAACTTAAAGAAAGGTTAATGTAAAAGATATATTAAAATCCGGCAAGAGACTTTTTTTTTTAATACATGACCTTTTTAAATTTTTATTTTTCTGCAAGTAATATTTTATATTTCCCTAAATTAATCTAATTTACAAGGAGGGAACTCAAATTTAGGTGCAAAACAGCGATCTCACTGCCTAGCCAACTAGTATTTTGTATATTACTTGAGAATCAATTAAGCTTTTCTTTCTCCATGTTATATATTTACTCATACTTTCCTAAGATATGTGTACACATGATTTTCTTTTATTACATATCGATTTATTTTATTATAATACTCCACCGTTGGATTGGAATAAAAACTTATTTCATTCATTTAGGATTAATCTATTGTATAAATATACGAACCCTTCGAAGTTGTGTGTCACTTAATTTATTAACTGCTTATCGTTTTCTTGATCGCTTCAAGGCACACGCAATAATATCGATTACTAAGATCGATACTAAGATTGGAGAAGAAGAAGGAGGAGGAGGTGTGATGAGTAAGGAAGATTTTGGTGATGGCTTGTCCCCTCTTGAGACATTGTCGAAGACTATTTGTAGTGTATTCAAGTTGCATCAAGAGAATTCTTCGGTACCTCCCACGAAACAAAGCTCCTTGTACTTCAATTTCTTGAATGACATGCCTAGCCCTAGCAATTCCAATACCATTCCTGTAAGTATTTTTGTCTCTGATTAAATTTTCACATAATCAATACTTTAATTTTCTAACATTTAGTTTTTTTTAATTAACTTGTCACAGAAAGAAGGAAACGAGCCAGTGATGATCAAAAGAGAAAAAGAAGAGATATTGGAGAGTACTACTTGTAGCCAAGTTGGGTCTGGAAGTGATGATGATGATGAAGAAGAAAAGTGAGGGAGCCATCAACAAGAAGTTCCCAAGATTATTAAGAAACGCTCCCATTGCCACATTCAACAAAGGGGCTTTTAGATTCAAGTCCAAAATATGTACTTGATTTGAATCCGAATAGTTTTTCTTTATTATGGATTTAGACCCATTAACTTTTATTATATATTTTCTTAATTATGTCTATTGTGTCTTTGTAAATAAATAGTGAAAACATTAATAGAAGGATCACGATTGATCCATACAAAATACAAATCACGTAATGTATGGCTAACTGCTCTTAATCTTTTGAGTTACAAATTCCTTGCAAGTTGCATAATCTTTCATCTCTAATTCAAGTACACAAAACAAACTGGGCATACAGTATGTTACCTACTAGCTATAACTCAAGTAAAAAGAACATATAAGTAAACATGTCATTAATGTAACATTGAAAAAAAATTGCAGTTTAGTTGGTTAGATGTTAACTCTTTTCAAGTAACTTTTAATTGGATGAATTAAATCTTTTCAAGTCGAGCAACTATAGTTTTTGGTCACTTGTATTAGATTTTATGTTCCACGTCTCAAATGTGGGCAGATCAAGATGACCAAAAATCGTTGCCATTTAAAAATTGGTCTTGGATTATCACCATTCATTTCTAGGTTAGCACTCAAGGATCATCACTACACACACACACAAAAACAAAAACAAAACAAAAAACAAAAAAAAGTGGCATCAGAATAAAACCGACATGTTTTGGAGTTGGGGCATCAATTTTAATTCTAGAAATGTTAATTTTAATTATAATCTGTTCAAACCCTAAAGCCCTTGGAGTTTCTCTTTCCTCTAGCCTTTGGTGTGACTACGTGGCACATAAGGTTTAATGTTATACAAGATTACTTGGAGACCAATTAAACTTTCCAATTTCCATGTCACATATTTTCACTTACACTTTCCTAAAACATTATGGAGTTTTATTCGATTCCAATTGGGATTCAAAATTCCCAAAACTTTCTTATTTCCAAATCACACTGGGAAAATTATACTCGTAAGAGAGAAAACTATATAACACAAGAACCCTTCTCACTTCTCTCACTCAAATTTTTTGTATACGCTCTATTATTCACTTGAAAGCAAGCATTGATGAAATCGACGAGCATTATGATTCGAGAGGAGGAAGAAGAACAGAAGATGGGTTTGCTCAGTAAGAAAGATTCTGATGAGCATGGCAATGGCTCGTCCCCGCTCAATACGTTGGCGGAGGCAGCTTGTTTTATTGCTGCCCAGAAAACGAAGGAAGAAATTTTGGTACCTCCAAAGAAACGCTTCTCCAACTTCAACTTTTTGAATGATATGTCTGCTGGCCCTAGCAATATGTCTACTACTCCAGTAAGTATACAATATTAATTTCTCTAATTGATTTTCCGACGTAATTAATCAGTCATAAATTTCATTTTTAAACATTTACAGTGCAATTATTTATTGCAACAATTTATTTGTTTAATTTGTCACAGAAAGAAGAAAACAGGCTCATCATCAGAGGAGAAGAAGAAGTCTCACACTGCCCCATCCAACAAGTCACAAAGTAAGCTTCTTTAATGCCTTCGTGATTCAATATCATCCTCCCCATCTTTTTCTTTGCAAAATCCAAACCACACCCAGAGGACGGCTCTGTTACTATTAGAAGCTAATTAATTTAACTAATTATGTTAATTAGTATATAATTAATCATAATCTGTGCATGCATCCACCAATGACTTTGTTTCATATAATTTCTCCTTAGGTACTAATTAATTATGTACTGTGTAATTTTGTGTGGCAGTTTACTTGAGGAATATCTAATACAGAACTACCCTAAGAAACTAAGGTCGTCATGTAAAAGTATCACCATATTCGGCCAAAAGCTAAGCTATGCTCAGAAGAAGAGAGCTAGCTTTTCCAACATGTCACTGGGCTTGAATGTGAAGAAAGACATTAAGAAGAAAAAGAGGAGGGTGGTGGTGGCGGCGAGGAACAAGGGTAAGAAGGTCATATTCGACAACGACATTCCTCCCCCTAACTTGCCTGAAGAATTCAAGAGTTTGATTGGAAATATGAACGGGACAAATGTGCAAAGGTTGGTGCACAAGAGTTTGTTTGAGAGTGACATAAAGAGCCAGCAATGCAGGCTGCTGCTGCCTCGGCAGCAAACCAGATCCACGACTTTCCTCGAACCCCATGAGAAGAATATACTAAGAAATTATGGGTCCCTTACAGTTCCATTGATAGACCCAAAGCTTAAGCAACAAGAAATAAACTTGGGGTTGTGGAATCCAAACAAAGCAAAGGAATTCTATGTGTTAAAATCTCCCTGGAAACGCATTGTGAGTGATCATGGACTAGACGTAGATGATGTGGTGGAGCTTTGGTCATTCCGGGTTAATCATAACAACAATGAGATTAACGGTGGCTACGACAACGGCGGTCAGCTTCATTTTGCTCTTGTTTTGGTTGGGGATGCTATTAAAAAGGAAAGTGGCAAAGAGGTTACTGCTATTTCTGCTAATGATGAAGGTAGTAGTGTGAGCAACAATTTAATGGATGTACAATATTTATTGTGAAGATATTATTTGCAATTTAACTAAGAAAGTTGGGTCGAGCTAATTACGCTTAGTAAAATGCTTGTCTTCTTCTCTTAGAATTACGAATTTTTACTTTTCTGTCAATTGCGGTTTAACATATATGCATAAATCTTTCATTTGAGTTTTTGATGAATTATTTTCGACACATACGAGAAAATTAATGAATATATATTACACAGTATTTTTATGTCACTTTTGTTGTTTAGCTTTAGGCTTCCTTGTTGTAAATGGACAGCAAATGGTTCTTCTTTGGGCTTGCTTTTGAAAATGCTGCCTTTTCATTTTATCTCCTTCTTTTTTTCGTAATAAAATTTTACTTATCCCAAAAATAAAATTTTAAATTAAAAAAAATATATCAACAGTGAACACTGAACAAACATGAACTCGGCACCTCTTCTTCTTCTTCAGCAATCTCTCCCGCCAATATCCCCCACTGAAAATCTTATTATTAAACTGAAAACTCCATTCCCACAATAGCAAACCCGGTGCACGAACACCCACATCATCATCATCATCACTTTGTTATATAAGAGCTTGCGCTGGTAAAACAACAAGAAGAGTAGGAAGAGGAAGAAGAAGCAACCCAGATGACTACCATGCCACTCTCACTGCTCTCAACTCCAAAGGCCGATTCCCTAGAAAATCCCTCGGCCAGGTTTTTCACTTCCTTCTCGCTCTCTCTCTCGTTTCGACTTTCTTCTCCCACTTAATAAATTTTCCTTTTTTTTTTCTCTTTGTTTTTTATTTTTCAAATTCCGTGTTCTTGTTTAGTTGCTTAGACAATGTGTGGAAGATAATATGTGGGTTTGGTTCCAATTATGTTTCTAAATTTTTTTTCCAAATTTAGTATGTATTGTATGCTAGAAATGGTAAGTAGCCTCGGATTTATTTTCTGAATGATTTGGTTTTGAATTTTCTTACTTTGTTTAATTTGTGTGTATTTCCAGCATTATATGTTGGACTCTGAGATCAACGAGCAGCTCACTGCTGCGGCCAATGTTGGAGAAGGTGATGTGGTGTTAGAAATTGGGCCAGGAACAGGTTCTTTGACAAATGTTCTTATTAGTGCCGGTGCATTTGTGCTCGGAATTGAAAAGGTTGTTTGTGTACGTGTGTGTTTCTTCTCTGGTTAGTCAATTAGAATCCTGGGTCTTTGAACCCTGCAACAAGTATTTGTTGCAAATTTGACAAATTGCTATTAGTAATGTGCACTGATTTTGTAGGGTGTTTTATGTGCTTTAGGATCCACACATGGCTACTCTTGTGAGTGAAAGACTTGCAGAGGTGGAACGGTTCAAGGTAAACCACATTTTGGTCATATTTAGCTCCGCCTTATGCTACTAGGAAATGAGCTCTTACCTAGCATTCTGCACAAACTTGGTAGTATGTTCCTAAAAGGGTGTATTTAGAGCAACATCTTTGAATCCTGGACATAATGGAGTTGAGGGTTTTATGCTCTTTCTGTTTTTATTGCTGATGCCATGGTGACTAATGTTGCAAGAACTGAAACCTGTAGGTTTTGAAAGAGGACTTTGTCAAATGTCACATTCACTCACATATGTCATCACTTTTGGGAAGTATAGAGCAATCTGGTGCAAATTCAAGATATGCAAAAGTAAGAATCCTACTTGGTTGCTTAAAATGACTTTGACTTCCGAATGAGATGCATGCTAATTTCAACAATCCATGCTCAAATGAAAACAGTTGGTCTTTTCCCGATGTCCACGATATCCTAAAAAGGCCTATTTGAGTTTCTTGATTGCAGGTAGTCGCTAATATACCCTTTAATATAAGTACAGATGTAGTCAAACAACTTCTTCCAATGGGTGACATCTTTTCTGATGTAGTTCTCTTACTCCAAGTTGGCATTATTCTATTGATCTATGACTGTAAAATTATATTATGTAGCCTTGTATTGATGCCCTTTTCACTGTTTGGTGATGTTATCTGGATTGCATATAATTCAAGAATAGCCTGAAGCTTTAGTAGGATAGGGAAAAGGGATTGTAGAGAGTATGAGATTGGATCTTTTAGGAGCAGAGCAAGTCAAACTAGATCCCTAGACTTCTGAATTTATGGATCTGATAGTGGTCATAACTAATTCCTTCGATCACTATAATGGTAAGATCATTTCAGGAGGAGACAGCTTTGCGCTTGGTAGAATCATCTTTGCGGACATCTGAGTACTGGCCCATCAATATCTTAGTCAATTTCTATTCAGGTATCTCTATGTTTGTATTTAATTTGGACATAGTAGGCTATTGATAATTTAATCTAATTATTGAAGCTGTTTAATGTATAGCAAACTAGAACCTAGAAGAAATAGGTGTCAACTTGTATACAGTGAAAGAGTGACATAAGTTAGTCTGATAGTTTTCATGCCAGTGAGATGCAATTGTATATACTTCTGTTTCTTTTAACCAGTAATGAGTAATTGAGTATTACTAATACTAGGAGATAATACAAGATAACAAGTTATCTACATTTGTTGCTGGACAGTTTTTGACCCATAACAGTTTATTTTCCCAAAATTTTGATTGCATATATATATTTTTTTTCTGACTTAGTTTCTGCTTGTCATTTTCCTTTTCAGATCCTGAATTCATAATTAAGGTTCCAAGGACAAACTTTTTTCCTCAGCCTAATGTAAGTATTTATAATCCCGTAAAGTTTTATATATAATATATATGCCTTCTAACACTGTCTATTGTACTTTGTTTAAAAACATAGCAGAACAATTTTATTGAAACTTCAACCAAGTAGTAAGATGTTGCTTGTGTTGCAGGTTGATGCTGCTGTTGTTAAATTTAAGCTGAAGCAACCTGCACACTACCCCCCAGTGTCCTCGACTAAAAGCTTCTTCTCAATGGTTGTTTCAATTTCCATAATCTATCATTCTTTTTAGAATATTATTACGGAGTTTCATTGCCAAATATATGTTGTTCCTGTAATGAACGGAAGCAACAGATGCTGAAATTTTAACCTTTTTAATCTCTAAGACACAGTTGTAGGGATAGGGCTTTTAATACTCATTCTAGTCAAAACATCAGTATCCTGTCTAAGGCATGTTGTCTTTATTTAAGCTGAAAAAAATAATGGTCAATAGTCTTGTTATTCTCAATCAATTCTTCCATTGTTTCATCTCTCCCGCAAAGCATAAGTTAATGATTTGAAGCAAGATGAATTAGGGCACTTTCTTTGTTTTCTGCCCTCATTGTAGGACGCCTTGTTTGTATGTTGCGTACAGGTCAATTCTGCTTTTAATGGGAAACGCAAGATGTTGAGGAGATCACTTCAGCACATATGCACGCCCCCGGAGATTGAAAATGCTTTAGGAAATGTTGGTCGTCCTTCAACGGTATTGATTGCTATTTCTTTTCTGCTTACCAAATTACCAATATGTTGGGAAAAGGTTTTAAAGCTCCTGCGTCTAGCTCTATGTATGTATTCTGCTAAATTTATTCTTCTGATTGTTCTTTTGCAGTCAAGACCAGAAGAGCTTTCCATGGATGATTTTTTCAAGTTGCATAACTTGATTGTGAAAGTATAACATTGTAATTATTGAACAATACTTAACAGTTTGCTATGAAATATCTGATATTTCAAGAAATAAATTTAAAAAAATTAGAAATGATATATGATTCTTTTTTAATTATGAAAAATATTTACTACTAAATAGAAATGGTAAAGAAAAGAGAACATAATCCTATCTAATAAATAGAAATGACACCATACATGACCTAAATCTTACATTCATTAATCACCAAATCTTACAACTACACATGAAATATCATTATGATGATCATAGCTATTCATATTGAGTGCTTGCTGAGTAAGGTACTTTGTTGCTTTCTGGGTATTCTGTATTTGTATAATGGAATCTACAGCTTGTTGATTGGACATTACCATCCATAGCGGATGACTTGCCAATACAAGAAACTCTATTTCATCATCTATCATTTCTACGATCACATAAGGTTCACAACTAATATATTTCTTCATGTGTTTCACACCAAATGACCTTGTTACTGGCAGGGCTGTCCCTAAGATTTTGAGGGCCCTGGGCTAAACTTAAATTGAGGCCTCACATAATAACCTAATACAAAAATACTTGTAACTAAAAGTCATCATCAAAAACATGTAATGACAAAAACATACCTTACTATCCAAAAATCATTCACATTGTAAAACTATTACAAGAGTTTTTTTCCCCAAAAGAAAAAAAAGATATTGAAGTCTAAAATATTGGACTAAGAAAGAAAGATTTTTTGTCACAAGGACAATCCAAAATATTGAAGTCTTTTCCCTTTCCAAACACAAACAAGTTAAAAAGTCAAAATTCATACAATTATGCCTCAGCAATGTCAGCCGATACAAAAATACAGAGAAAATCACAAGAAAATGCACATCTCTACCATAAGGAGACAACAAGGAAATCATGTGCCGTTTTTCAACTTTGCAACATCCTATACAGCTACAAACGAGGAAACTGGGGAAGCTATTAGTATCCTATTCCAGTAGTTACAGACAAGTGCCGAAATACTTGAACTTCTTTGTTCTTTCACCACTTGATTTCTGTTTGCCAAAGGTAATTCACAGGCCTAGGTTCTATCTGACTTCACTTCAGCTGCTCTTACTCAGGCTGAGTACGAGACTTCTCTATTAAGAACTCGATTTTCTGTTATGAAGATGAGCAAGTGCAGCATAAAATAAGTAATTGAACACCAAAGACTAAGGAAGTTGAAGTTTGATAACGCCACTCATTAATCAAGCAGCTAGAGAGACACTCCACTGAGGAAAAAAAGAAATAACGGGAAGAAGAAGAAGACATATACCTTCACAGATTTATTGACTTCTTCAATCTTATTAAGCAGCAATTCCCCAGGTACTACACCTCTGCGTTCTATTGAGGCATAGCGTGGTGAAGCTGCCATCTGCATAATATGGGCAAAAACATGTTTAATCAATCCACCAAATACCTGCCTTACAGAATTGGCCAGGGATAGCGAATTGAAAAAGTTTTCAAAATACAAAATAAAAAAGAATTGAAACAAGTTTGACAAAGATGGAAAAAATAAATCTATTTGTTGCAACAGTTCCATCAACGAATCGAATACCTTTAAGCTTTTGGATGGTGATCTCAAAACAGCAGGTCCCTCACTCAATGATCCAGTGCAAGCCATGCTTTCCCCTTCAGCAGTGGGAGCAGTAGGCTTCCAACTTATACCACTATCTTGTATGGCTTTTGCAGCTTCTGTTATGATGACCTACTAGTCATGCAACAACGAAAAATCTCAGTTTGTAATTTAACATGACAAGTTTCTTTAATGGTGTAAGACAAAACAATAGTAATGGAAGAGAATGCATGTTCACAAAAAATCTGATTAGTTTTCCTGATTCAGACAAGAAGAACATAACAACTAAAAGACAAAGTTTTATTCACCTTCCTCAAACCACTAGAGTTAGAAACCCCTTGAACCTGTAGTTCATCTACAGCCGCAGCTTTTCCATGTGCTATACTTTCAATTCTAAAGGTATGAATTCCATACCTTGACTGCAAGCAACCTGTACATAATGAAACAGAAAATACTGTTAGTACCTATGCCATGTAACTTTGCTAACCCAAAAGGACATTGAAATCAAATTTATAGTCAACAAGCTAATGCGGAGATGAATGATGCAATTTTCCAAACCAACATGCAACTGGCCATCCATTATAGTGCAATGCAAGCTAGCAAACTTCTATATGTTGTAGTGCACTTAGAGACCTTGTTGTATAATGCCCTGTGGACTTTTGCCTCTAGCTGTTTAACTTTTCTTTTCTGCACTACATTTCCATTCCTCATTTGAAAAATGAAACTCTTAAGATGGTAACCTAGTTTCTCATGCAAAAACCTTATAGCCACCTTATTACAGGACTATTTACTTCGCCCTGTAGAGGAGCTAGCTTTTATTCTTGGGGGTGTTGGGGATAATAACACAGGTTTTTCAAAATTGTGTAAACAATTGCAGATAGTTTTGTAAACTTGTTATGGATCTTGCATGGGCTATTGGAGGCTCTTGGGGGCGGGCACGGCCACTTCAGGTCGAAGTGTGGCTCCACCATGGAATGCATAATAGTTTCATGTTCTTTAGGAGTGATGACTTGGAGACAAAATTATGTGCATGAATTCAAAATGTAAGCTATGAAGGAGGACTAGAATTAGTGATGAGTGAATGTAGGCATATTACTAGGTTGCACGGCATCGTAAGGCCAAAATGAGTACCTTGTTCTATAATGATATCAATCACCAGGGAAAGGGATACATGCTTCTCAATTGTAGTGATGCCCCAGAAGGGTATGAAAGATGGCCTTGAAACCTTTTTGGAGAGGAAAAAAATGAAGAATTACTTTAACGTATTTTTTATTATATAAGTAACAAAAAATAGAGACTGCTTCAATGCAGTCTTTGGAAAAGATAAAGTTTAAATTATGTCCGTACCTTGTAAACTACCTCACTAGGTGTAACATATAGTTTGCGCGAGGAAACATCCTTCTGAAGAACATATCTCTTAAAGGGCAGATATAACAGCATGATGATGCCAACTCCCCAAGCTAAAACCAGCAATATTGATATAGAAAGCCAAATAACAGTGTCATACTTAACGATATTCATTGCAAGCTCTTCAAATGAGGCCGAGTATAGTATTTTCTCAGAACAGTCTGCACTGTCATCCTCTTCTATCTCGGATTCGGCATAAGGAAGTAGCTTGGTCCTCGAGGAACGAGGCGTAGATAGACCATCCGTGTGACCCATCAACATCTCTTCCAGCTCAAAACTAGTAATAGGAAAACATAAAGAATCATTGTCAAATTCAACATTCCAACAATACCATAAGCCATAAGATGTTAACTTTTTCATTTGGATTCAGAGTTTCTTAACACCCTAATTGCTTAAGCACAAAGTTTTTCATCAAAATCTGAATTGAGATGCAAATGAGACTAAAGGGCTGTACAGAGCCCTCACAAACAAATAACTCCTGGAAGCAAAAAAGAAATTGTTTCAAAACTAAGCACATTTTTCAAATGCTAAAAATAAGTTTAAAATTCAAAGTTTCACAGATTCAAACTCTCAGATCAAGCATGCACTTTTTCCCTAGGCTAAAAGCAACATTCTAGCTTACACTGCTTAAAGTCATTAGCTTGATTACAACTCGAATGAATACTAATCTACCCGACTTCAGCTAAGTATCAAATTTTCCCGTGAACCAAACAACAGCAAGAATGAAAGCATATTATATTCCGTGGGTTTTCTCGGAAAGCAAACAAGAAGGTGAATATAAAAGCAAGCTCCCAGATACCCATAAAACCGAATCAAAACATCAAGACCCAGACGTAAAGCAGCATACAGTGGGGGTATAAAGAAGTAAAATTGGTGGGAAAAAAAAGGGGAAAAGGAATTATTACCTGGAAAACTTTCGATTTTCAGAGGTCCCGGTACGAAAATCTGGGGCAAGTTTTTTTTTGTTTTTTTTTTGTTCGAAAAATTCTGGGGATTTAAAAGCGACTTTTATGTGGGGATTTTTGTGGGGGGTTTTCCGTAATTTTAAGACGGGGTTTGGGTGTTAATAAAAGCATCAGCCTAACAACCAGCCCTCCTGACGCTGTGTTTGTTTGTTGCTTTTTTCGCTGGAAATGGGTTTTGGATTTGTTTCACGCGCTTGGTTGCGTTGATCTATCTTCTATGTGATCTCACACGTTTGCAATTAGTTGGAAATTGGGCGTGTAACATGGAAATGCCCTTATCATCCTTTAGCTTACTAATCTCTTACTTTTTGAAGTAATTATTAGAAGATGGTGTCACTTTAAAAACAAGATATTGCCCTATATATATATTTCCCACAATTGACAAGAAAATGTTTTCTCATGTTTCTAACTTAATTGATGTCTGTTCTAATAGTAGAATAGATATAAATAAATATACATATGTTCTATATACAGATAAAACAGAGTATGGCTTCATTAAGACCTCGTTTGGTGGTTTGACTTGGATTGGAGTTAAGTCCAAATCAGTTCTTATGAGTCTCACTTATAGAGGTGGTGTGACTTGTAAGATACAATATGTGGGATTGTTTTGTTATCCATTTTAATAAGTCGAGTTTCATCACACCAAACAACGGTCATGATTCTTGTTCATTTTAATTGAAATAGTCCGATCTAGTCCCACCCACTAAACGTGAAGAATTTTATGTTATGCTGAAATTTTATTTAACTCAACACCATATCTAATTGAGGAGTGAGATTATATAACTTCTTAATTATATTGAATTATTTTCTTTTTATTCAACACCAAAACAAACTCTTGTCTATAAAATCACAATAGAACAAACTTTCTTCTATAAAATTACAATAGAACAAACTATCGTCTATAAAATCTGAAGTTTTTCAAACTTCGAGTCTCCTCCAATAAATCGAAATCAAATTATCACTAGACCAATTGGTCATTGTCTACTTCCTAACTTCAAATCTTTATATTATTATCTATAAACGTGATTAGAAAAATGAAGTTAAATTGTACTTATTACTAAATATAAAACAAAGCTACTTGTACACTCATAAGTAGACCTGCCAATGGATGAGATTTTGATCCAAATCCTATGTAGTTAAAAGTAATGGATTGGACTTCTTAATTCGATAATCTGATTACAATCTGAATTTGATAATCCGATTATAAATGGATCAAGATATGGATTATAGTTGATTTGATCCGATAATAATGCGATCCAACTTAGTATGAAGCACAATTTTGTTTTTCTATGCTTTATATTAATATTTTATATGTGAGTGAGTCATTTTAGTTTATATACACTAAGAACACACTTAAAACTAATTTTTATGATAAAATATCAAAATTTGATATAAAAAAGTAGATAAATACAATAAAAGAATGAGGCCTGGCCACTAATGATTTTATTTTTTTTACATCACAAAATAAATCGATAATAATTTGATCCGATGCGTAACAAATATGAATATAGTCCGAATACAATTCAAATTTGATAATCTGATTATAAATAGATTCGGTTTGAATTGAGATATATCCGATCCAAATCCGACCCATTTACAGGTCTACTCATAAGGCCTAAGAAGCAAAAAACAGAAGGGAAATTCACTATTATACTCAATATAAGAGCCCGAATTATTATCTTTTTAAAAAAAAAAAACCGATATGAAATGGACTTTAGAAATACACTTAAAGCCAATTTACAACATAAAAAAAATGCTTTTAACTTCTTATAAATTACAAAACTGCTGTTGATTTCTTAAAACATGCCAAACTCCAAAACCACATAAAAAAACTTAAAACACTCAATAGGGCATCAAAGTAATTTAATAATCAAAACTAAATTCAATAGGTCCAGCTGTCATATTTTGGATTTTTTTGGATTTTTTTTGGGTTTGGGTTTGTTTATAGAAATTAAATGGTGTAAAATTTATTTATATCATTAGTGCTAAGAATGAATATATGACAAGTTTTGGATTCCCTGGTGCAAAACAAACATACCTTGTAGCTGTTAAAATTAATATAAAATTAGAAGTCCTTTTCTAAAATAAAAAATAAAAAAAATATGGTCGGAATATAAAAATAGATATTTATAAAAATACCCAATCCTAGACATGTATTTATAAAAATACCCAAGCACTATTTAAACATAGAAACATACCCAAAATGGATTTTGGGCATGTGTGTAATGATGGGTTTTGGGTATGTTTATAAATGGGTTTTGAGTGTGTGTAATGATGAGTTTTGGGTATGTTTATAAAGTGTTTTGGGTGTTGGGTATTTTTATAATTTCAGCCCCCATTTTGGGTATTTTAGTGAAACTCCCATATAAAAAAGGGTACCATTCCACGAGGTTGAAGGACAACGGCCTTCGCAGTTAACGTTGCGTCCGCACCAACTGACCACCAAGACCAAGGCCAAGAAGAGTGTTGTTCAGAGCGCTTTGACGTGAAACAGTGAAACTGGTATTATTCCACGACGTCGTATAAGCAACCAACCGCCCACGCGGAAAATTTTATTCCCTCTCCTCCACTCAACGCAACCAACCATCTTTCACTCTCTCTCTCTCTCTCTTCTCTCGTCTCTGCCTACTTTTCCTTCAGATCCTGAGCTTCATTTCTTCCTTTTTTACTTCGGAAAATTTGTAAGGTACAGTTTTCTCAGTCAGAAACTATTTGCTTCATAATATTTGTTTATTCTTTGCTTAATTATATATGCTCTTTTTTTAAATAAATAAAAAATTATGAGAATTCTGTTCTGTATTTGTTTGAGCCCTGTCGAGCTAATTAGGTTGTTTCGATTACATTTCTCGAATTTCATATTCTAAATTTAAAAGGATTTGGTGTATTCAGATAGCTTTTCCATGTATTCGATCTCAAAAGCTTGGGAGTATGGTGGAATTTTTTTTGTAATTTTATCAATCTGCAGGAAATTATTGAAAAATAAAAAGTGAAATGGGTTTAATTACTCTGTCCACTTGATTCTTTTTTGGGGGAATCTAATTCTGTATATGCAAATTTTCTGTATTTATAATATGAACTGTAAATTATAATCATAAGCAATGTTTAATTGTTGCAAAAGAATCAAAGAACTACGTATAAGTTCTGAAAATAAGTATTGAATGCGGGGAAAATGTCCCACAAATCATACTTCCATCCATGACAGTATTTTTTGCTTCTGTGTTCATTTAATACAAACTGTGATTAAATTACTTGGGCTGCTTTCATTTTTAAGGTGTTACAACTTTCATAGTTCATTATACAGTTTGAGTGATACTTCATATTTATTCCTCAATGCAGTGTACAATTGGTTATTTATTCCCAGTCTGTGTTGTCCAAATTGTAAGAGAGCACTGCAGTAGTATACAAAGCTGATTGGTTTTTACATGCGTACCTGATGATTGGATGGATAAGAAGCGGCAAATTGCGATATTCACTACTGCAAGCCTTCCATGGATGACTGGAACTGCCGTCAACCCTCTATTCCGTGCAGCCTATCTTGCAAAAGACGGGGAGAGAATCGTCACTTTGGTCATTCCTTGGTTATCATTGGAAGACCAAAAACTAGTATATCCCAACAACATCACGTTCAGCTCACCAGCAGAGCAGGAGACTTATGTCCGTCACTGGGTTGATGAGAGGACTGGATTCAAATCTGATTTTAGTGTACTTTTTTATCCTGGAAAGGTAAATATACCCACTAATTTATTGCAATTACCGTTGTACATGCACAAATCCATTTTACTTGCTGGTTGAGAGTTTTATAATATCAAGGGAATCAAAGAGTAGTAATCTATGTAACACCAAAAGAGCATGGATGCTTTTGCCTTTTTCATGGTAGGCTGTGTAGCTGACCAGTTTTTCTTATTATTGAAACTGCTTATATTTTAAGAATCACAAATTGTATTTATTTATTTTTGTCCTTTTGGGACTTTCCTGTTCTTTACATTCCAATCATTTACGAATTTAACAAATTATAATCTGCATGCCCAGTCAACCTGGTGGACATCCACGTTGACTCATCTTCCCCTGTTCCCTATGCAATATTCTCCTTTTTCTTGCTTTTGGCACCATCAAGGATAGCTGCTCTTCTTCTTTCCATGCCTTATATCGTAGTATCAACTTATGTTGTCACTTCTGTTGCAGTTTTCTTTAGATAAAAGGAGCATTCTTGCTGCTGGAGATATTTCGGAAAGAATCCCTGATGAAAAGGCAGATATTGCCATCCTTGAGGAGCCAGAGCACCTTACGTGGTATCATCATGGGAAGAGATGGAAAATTAAATTTCGGCTCGTTGTAGGAATTGTGCACACCAATTATTTGGAATATGTGAGAAGGGAGAAGAATGGAAGAATGAAAGCATTTCTTCTAAAATATATTAATAATTGGGTTGTCAGTTTATATTGTCACAAGGTACATCTGGATAAATGATAGTTTTCTTGATATGGCTTTTTTTGGGTAGTTACGCTTTTTCTTTCCATAATTTATTTTATCTAGCCTGTTCTAGATTCTTTATAAGACTTGGTGAAATTTGCTCTTGGACTTGTTAGCTGTATGACAGCACAGTTGTGGCGATAGTTTGTTGGATCCTTTAGATAACTCTGCTCATGATTAATAGTAATGACGTTTTGTATAATTTGGAGACATATGAGTTGTAGGCCATGTGTGTGTGTGTGTGTGTGTGTGTGTGTGAGAGAGAGAGAGAGAGAGAGAGAGAGAGAGAGAGAGAGAGAGAGAGAGAGATGAATGACATATATATTTTTTTGGTTACAAGAATGGCTTATATTATTAGAAATTGATATTCTATAACAATTTTATTTAGAAGTGGAAATTTGGGGAGATATGAATGACTTATATTATTGTCATTGTCTTGATATGCTTGCTAACCAGATCTCAACTATGATGTACTGTAGGTAATCAGATTATCTGCTGCCACCCAGGATTATCCTAAATCCATAATTTGCAATGTTCATGGAGTCAACCCCAAGTTTCTTGAGATAGGCAAGAAAAAGCAAGAGCAACAACAAAATGGAATCCAGGCCTTCACCAAAGGTGCCTACTACATTGGGAAGATGGTGTGGAGCAAAGGCTACAAGGAGCTACTCGAGCTTCTTCGTGATCATCAAAAGGAATTAACTGGACTTGAGGTCGATTTATATGGAACTGGGGAGGACTCTGATCAAGTTCAGGAAACTGCTAAAAGATTGGAACTGGCTGTTAGAGTCCACCCTGGGCGTGACCATGCTGATCTTCTATTTCATGAGTAAGCTTTCTACCTATCTGGCCAACCTGCTGATAAGATCAAATTAATAGTCTATAATTTTGATGACATTCTGAAAAAGAAAGAATTGGTTGTCCAACATTGCACTACACAACCAATGATTCTATTGAAAGCTCGTCTGACTTGAGTCTTGACCAATCTTTTAATTTTTTGGATGAAAATATAGGATGGCTCTCCTTTGAACATTGATTTCTGATTTTTGACTCATATGTAGATGCAATGATTTCTAATTATAATAGCAATGTAGGTATTCCAAGGGAAAAAGTGGTTTGGAAATTTAATTAGTCTCATGGTTATTATCAGTGAGCTCAAGGGCAATTTTGTTACCCGTTTGAACCCTTCTCCTTCCAAATACACCCCCTTTCATAGAGAGGGTCAGCATGGTTGGAATTTTTACATATTATCCTTGTATATCTTTCAGTTATAAAGTGTTTCTCAATCCAAGCACCACAGACGTGGTTTGCACCACCACAGCAGAAGCATTGGCAATGGGTAAAATTGTTGTATGTGCCAATCACCCCTCAAATGAATTCTTCAAGCAGTTCCCAAATTGCCGAACATATGACAATGGTGATGGGTTTGTTAAGCTCACACGGCATGCACTTGCTGAAGAGCCTGCCCAGCTGACTGATGCACAGAGGCATGAGCTTTCATGGGAGGCTGCCACAGAACGGTTTTTAAGGGTTACTGAGCTAGACCAGGAATTTACAAGGAAACTGTCAAAAAGTCCTACAAAGAACTTTATGTCTGCCTCATTGGGGTTGTCGGGTAGCATGGAGGGTGCATCGGCATATGTGCATCATGTGGCTTCTGGTTTTGAAGCAACACGAAGGATATTCGGTGCAATCCCAAAGAGTTTACAACCAGATGAAGAACAATGTAAGGAGCTTGGGCTGCCTATGCCTGCAGGTAAACGAGCCTCGGGAAGATAATGTTGTTGTTTGTTGTTTGCTTGTATGAAACAATATTTCAGAGATTCTTTATTATGTCAGTTTCAGGACATGCTTATTTGGCTACCGAGGAATCCAAATCAAGTGGTGTAAAAGGGTAGCTCCTGTTTTATTCTTCTTGTTTCCTGAAATTGAGAATTGGATGGGAATGGAGGAATGTTTTTTTTTTACAAAGGACGTGATTTGAATAATGTCTCTTGTCATTGTTAGTCTTTCTGGACAAGTACAAAACAGAGAAATTGGGGAGGGGTTGTATTTGTAATTATAATTGCAATGTACATAACTTTACTATGTTGTGGATTTCCGTTTTAATACATATTGCGATGACTTTGTACTTTCTGCCGTGTTTGTTCTCACTTCTGGCTGAGGAAATGAAAATCCACTCATAGCATGTTTACTTAATGAGTATTGGAATTAATTTTTGTTTATAACTTTGTTATTGTCACATATAAAAACCTCAAATACCTTTTATAAATTAACTATTAAACTAAATTCTATTTGATGGATATTCATCCTTGGCTTTGTTCGAAATTACTGTCTAAAGCTAAAAGGACTGATGGAATCCAGTGGTTTATTATTTTTGTGTTTACTTGTTGGTTCTTATGGAAATGGAGGAACCGTCATATTTTCAGTCTGCTGGGGAACCCAATTATGATCCAGTTTAAACTGCTCTCACTGCTGCTAGACAATGGATGCAGGCTGCCCGGGCAACCGCTAAAGAATCAGAAAAAGTCCAGGTTTTCCTTGCTTGGGAACCTCCCAGTAATGGTCAATTCAAATTCAACGTGGATGGGTCTCGAAGAAGCTCTTCTGGCTGCATTGGTGCTGGTGGTGTTATCAGGAACTCGAGGGGTGATTGGGCTAGTGGCTTCTCTGTCAATTTAGGGAAAGGCCAGATTCTTGAAGCTGAAGTCTGGGGGTTGTTTTGCAGACAGTTGTCCAGCTTGTGCAGAAACCAGACTTGTTTGGCTACCATCCTCTTTCCGCACTGATACTTCGATGCTGCGCTATGATGGACCAATTTGATAGCCACTCTAGAATGAGTGGCAGACGCTCTCTCTAGCTAACTGGAGCTACAACATGGACCTTGGTCTATGCACCCTTGAGTCTGCTCCCTATTGGGTTAGTTCGATGCTTCTTGATGATTTGCTAGGAGTTGTTCATACTCTGTTGGTTTGTTTGAATCATTCTGAGCAGTCTGTTTCTGGGGCTTCGCCCCCCAACATCACCCCCAAAAAATAAAAAATAAAAAATAAAAAATAAAAAATAAAAAAATTGTGCGTTTTAATAAACTATATACTTTTATGACCAAATAACTGCCATAACAACTGTGCAAACATTTTTTAAAGTACGAAATCGAAAACTGAATAAATGAGAATAAAAGCTATTTTTTAATTACCATAAGTATTTCCAAACTCTATGATTGTATATGTTAATTCTTATCCCATAGCTTAGAAAATTACATTCTACAAAGAGTATTGATATACTTATAATATTTTTATCCCATGTTTATATGCCACATCATGTGGCATATCCATATCATATGTCACATCAATTAAATCAATGAAGTATATTTTAATGAAGAAAATTATAAATATAAATACTAAAATAAATCATAAAGGGAAAATAAAATAACATTTGGTGAGCACAAATGCTCTTCACATACAAAATCAAGATGACATACGAGTTCAAATATGAGATCTCTGTTTTGCAAATTAAAGCAATTTTCCACTAAACTAAACGATTGCCCCCTGCAATTTTCCACTAAGCCACACCCGATTAACCCCTGCAATTTTAAATGAAGATAATGAGAATCTTGGAATTTAAAAACAGGGGGCCATAAATGGCTAAAATTTTTTTCTTGTAATGAGAGTATTATTTTGCTATCTGGCCAATAAGACAATTGTGGGAGTAAATTTTCGTCCCACAAGAATATTCGATTGAAGGATTCTCCTTTCTTCTTCTCTGCCTCTTTCTTCCTGGAAAATAGATCAAAATAAGAGGATCACACCCAGGGGGTGTTAACTAAAGGCCCCGATGCTTAAGTTAGTTCAATTGATTTGTAGAGAAAACAATAGCTAAATAGAGTACGAAGTTATATAGGTAAGGTGTAAACCGGGTGGCCGAAGCCGTGAGTGGTGACCAGAGCCTTGTGTAGGAGGGAGAGAGAGTGTGGCGGCTTGGGTTGTGAGAGGAATTTTCTACAGAGTTTCCGTAGGAATTTTAGACGTACCTCAACCCTTGTGTGTAGCCATCTATTTATAGGAGCTTCGGAGGTTAGAGTTTCAGAGGAATAATTCCGTTAATGGAAATAAATTATTCCTCCCTGATTTGGCGAGATCGGGTTAATTAGGGATTGTGCTATTAGGCGGATGTTGCATGATCTCGTCGTTTTACAGACCCACCTACAGCAATTCAAATCAGTAACGGCTTGTTTTCAAGTTTCCTCACGCTCTCCAAGCTCAGTCACCTGAAATGGCAATAAAATCCAAATGCCTCTTTCACACCCAAAACCGCCAATCTTCACTCCCACAGAAAATCCAGCTCAAAACCCACTTACTCTCTGTCCTCTTCCTCATGCAAATTCAAGAACCTACCAAATCAAGCAAAGCAAAAGCAAAATCCTGAGCTAATCCTTAGAAAAGATCAAGTTCCTTTTCAGCTCTTGCCTGTAACCGCTCTGTTTTGCAGTAGCAGAATGGAGACACGTGGCTTCCGGCGCATCTTTTCCTCCTCAGGGCAGGGTCTTTTTAATAACCTAGTTCATATTGCAGGCTTAGTGCTTGAAAGATTGTCCCAGAGAGAGTTTGAGTTTATTTGTATTTTGGGTCTCTGCAAGATTGAAGCTTGTGAACATGGCTGGTGAGAGCTCGAGCAATCTTCCCGCTGGTTACGTTCAGGGAACCGAGAGAAAAGAGGATGGATCTAAGGTTAAGGTAATAAGAACTGTTAACTTGATTTAGATGTTGGAATTTTATCTAATTGAGTGTGAAGTTTGAATTCTCTGGTTTTGTTATGGAATTTTCTGAATGCTAGTTTTATCATGAATGTTATCGGTTTAAGTTCTCTTTTGCTGGCCATTAATTAGAATATTGCAGGATGTGACATGGGTTCTGTTTTTGTTTTTGGTCTTTCATTTATGTATCAATTTTACAGGTCAAGTTTTTTAATTTCTTTTAACCTTATTTCTATGTGATTTTGGATTTAAATCGGGTACGGTTTTGTTTCTGTTTATGTTGATGTCCTCCTTTAACATGCAGCAATGCCAGAAAAAATGTGTAGCTCCTTAAATAACAAGTTCATAACTCCTCTACTAGAACTTACATAAAATACTTAAGAGATTATTAGGTACATGTGAAAAGCATACCTAAAATCAGTAAGAAACATCACAAACTACAAAGGCCAAAAGCAATAGTTAAGTTGATCATTGACATTGAGATGCTGTTAATATGATGCTATCAACTTTAATAGGTTGATCTTAAGACCATCATTCTCTAACATTCATACAGAAGAAAAGTGCTTTAGAACTCAAATTTTAATAATGTAATTGCCAACTTTGGATAGTTAATTATAATAACATCTCCAAAATGTTCACCAAAAAGGAATTTTTTAAATATAAATGAAGCTTGTGTCTAGCCACAAACCAGAAGAAGTTCATAGGTTGAAACTTATATGAAGAACATCAAAGCAGATGGCTCTACCCACGAAAAAGTTAAAAGTAAGCAAGCAAAGATTGGCAACCATCTAAGCAATATGGAAGTTTAAAAATTCTCTTCAACTAAATGTCACATAGGTGAGGAAGATGGAAACTTGTTGAAATGAAAATTTTGCATTATTATGATTGCCTTTGAAAATGCTTCTCATTTATGTCAGTTTCAGTTACACGTGTCGCCATGCCAGAAAGCCTGGTGGCACGCGTTATTTTTTTTCTTTCATTTCTTGAAGAACAGCTATCAAAAGTCACGAGTTCAGTAGAAACACCGCTATCAAATGAAGAAAATGGAAATTTATTGACAAGAAAATTCTATATTTGTTTCTTGGTCTCTTTGTAGATTCCTCTAATTTATTTTAGTTCTAGTGATGCGTCTCATCATGCTAGAAAGCATGGTGGCACACATTAATTTTTTTCTTTCATTTCCTCAAGAACCGCTATCGAAAGTCATGAGACTGGTATAACAGCCACTATAGGGTAGAAAGCTAACCCTGCCTGGTAAGGAAGACGGAAAGTCATTAAAGAGATGAATCAGTTGCCTAATTACTTTCTGATTGAACTAAACTGCTACAGTAAGTAGATTCTATAATTTAGTAAGATCACTGGAAGAACTACTTATAAAAGCATTGTGTCATGCTATAATTCTTCGTTTCAAATCATTTAAAACTGTTGTCAACAGTGCAAATCTTTAGAAAAACGAAAAAGAGCGTAACTGCCTCTAATTTTATAAGTTTTGAATCTTCACGCATGGAACATGATATTCTATCTTAGCACTTAGCCTTAAGCTCTTGTAATGTTTGTAATTTCATATTTTTATGCTTGATTTTCCTAGGGCTAATGTCTGAAAAACCATGTTCTCAGAAATACAGGATGAATAAATAGAAGGAACAATTTGCCAAAAATTTGTGATACTGAAAACGTTTTGCAAATCATGGTACTTTATCCTCATAATTTCTTCAAACTAAAAACTTTATTTGTTGTGGTGTTGCAGTATTATGTGAATTTGGGACCAGGAATACGAGTAAACTCAGTGGAAGATATGCTTCGTTACAAGAATAGCGAATCAGCGGAAAATAATCCCAAGCAGGTGATCAGATACTTCTTTTTATTATGTTTCTCTATAAATTTTTTTTGACATGGGCCCTGGTTATTTGTAGATTTATCTTCTCCAATTCCGCTCCTATTACAGATTCCTAACTCTGTTACTGCGTTTACTTACAAAGTTTTACTCTTCTTTTTTCTTTTTTTCTAGTAAAGTGTTGCTAATTCTGTTTTCCATTTTCTTTTCCTGTCCTTTTGTCTCAATTTTCAGACTGGAGGCTGCGCCAAAGTCAGCCATCAATTCTGCAGTAGGTGCAAGGAAGTTGGCCACAATATCTTCCTTTGCCCCTTAGCGGTAATACCACAATGGGTACACAGTCATTTCTATAGACTCCTACAATTTATGTGTGCTTTTTCTTACCTTCTCCTTTTCCTTCTTCAAACATGCAGCAACAAGCTTCAATCACGAAACCTACTGCACGCAGCCTGAGTGGGCGGGTGACAGTGGCCAGAACAAGGAAGTCGCCATGCTGTAGTAAGTGTGGTAAAATAGGGCACAACTGTAGAAGTTGTCATCAACCTCCCAAATCCCCAGAGTCCCCCAAGCCTATGTAAAGAGTTTTTTATGTATTGTTAATGTTTCTGATAAATTTTGAACTTGTACTCTCAAATGAGTTTGTATTGAGTCTTTGAAAATCTTAAAGCTCATTGGAATTAGATTTCTACTTCCACACACCACGCACATGTCCACATTCATCTTGTGCAACATCCAGTTTCTTCAACGTGCCAACCGTTCTAAGACATGCAGCATGGTCAGTTGAGCTTGAGTTGATGCTTCTGAGAAAAACCCTGCCTTTTATAGGCAAAAAGGTACTTATGGTGCTGGATCGTGTCTTGTGTTGAGGACCTATTATTTGTAAATTCATGAAGCTTCTTTAACATATTGACCCTTTTAAGACATAGCATGCTTGCTCCATGAACAGCTAGAAGAGATACGAGGGCAGCTTTAGCCTCAACTTCACCCCATTTAGGAATGTTTTGTACGTTGGTAGTATTAGAAGAAACATTTCTAGTAGGGAAAATGTCCCATAGCAACTTCAATATAAGTTCTAATCTTTTCATTTAATGGTGCAAAAAACCTAATTTGGAAGCCAATAATTGCATTATGCCTACTTTTTTTTTGGATAAAGCATTATGCCTACTTTGTTTGCAACCTTCACACCCTATGTTTGGTAGCATAGAGAGTACTTTGTTTGACCTCACTCTTACATGTCTATACTACATCCGATTCGTGCGCTTGCGAATATTTATAAATTCAAACCGATACCTTTTTGGGCGACAGCACTAATATTTTGATTGGATTTTATGGTTTGAGCATTAAAATTCTTGGCTTCTTCTGATGACATCATCCTGGACAAAATATTGAATACATGGCCAACGAGGTCTAGTCGAGTGGAAAAAGGTCTTGACTTTCAGACCGGAGATCTCAGGTTGGAAACCCCATGGCATTAGTTGTGTGCGTGTGTGCGAGAAACCCCTATTCATGTAGTTTAGACTATAACTTGTACTAAAAAAATAATATATATATATATATATATATATATATATATATATATATATTA